TCCATCCATCCATCCATCTATCCATCCATCCATCCATCCATCCATCTATCCATCCATCCATCTATCTATCTATCTATCTATCTATCTATCTATCTATCTATCTAATCTATTTACCTAGCTTCCTTTTGAATTTGCTTTCAACTTTCCAACCTTCATTTTACTGTTTTATCCATATGAGCAGTTACATGACAGCAACCAAAACAAGCGCATGAAAATGCATGGTTAATGGTTGCAAAATCGGAAACTGGTGAGTTGGTCTGCCAGTCATCAACTCCTAGGGGACCATGGACTACCTACTCCAACTGACTGCCACTGCCGTGTGAACTATCCTCGGCATCATCATCTTACAGCGAAATAAAGTACAGCGAACATCACTAATCGCTGACGAACTTGCAATGCATAAAGAAGTTAGTGGTAGTATGTATGATAGACAGGGATGGAACCCATTTAGAGTCCGATTTCCGGAGGGTGTTGTACTTATCTGCGTAGAATACTTCCTCCGTCTGTTTTGTTAATGATAGTCGGAACATGCAATGACGAATTGAGCAAGAAGGAACCAATCTCGTTATTTTCCCTGTCTCCTTGTTTCTTTGTACGTCACAGCATTTAGCAGATTTTTACCTCGCATTCTCTCTAACATCCTTTTTATCGTGACTTTTTCATTGTGTCTTGACTGTTATCACTCTTTAATGCATCAGTTGTACTCCTTTTGTGGTCTCTGCACTTGTCTGTTGGCTATATTCTTTTGATTTCTCCACTTTTAGCAGTCGTTCAATTATACTCCGACGGAACCTATGGAGGACCTTAAGGCGTTCGAATGGCGTTTACGCGAAGTGATTCAAGGTCTCCATCCGAAAGCAAGACTGTGGCGTGCCTTATTGTCTCTCGTCAGTCTCTCATGCTTGATTACAGCTTACTTTTGGTTGATGGACCCGACAACTTACCAGGTTGGGTTTCTCGGTTCTCTGCAAAAACATCCACAATTCGTGCTTACTTTACTCACATTGGCCATTCTCTTTTTGATGGGTGCGCACAAAAAGGTCATACTACCCAACATAATAGCACAACGCAGTCGTGTGGTTCTGGCTGAGTACAATATGACATGTGACAACTCCGGCAAACTAATTTTGCGCCCCAAACCAAATCTCTGATCTCATTTATATGCCTAACTTGTTTCGGTCCGAACACAGCGTTTTGACAGGAGTCTTTCAACTATCCGTCTGTTGCCGGTAGATTCATCGAATGACATTCACTTTGTTTTTCATACATTTTCTGCTTGAACTGCAATGAGCTAATCAAATTTTGATTCTATTTGCTGAATGTGTGCTTTAGCATTTATGGACATTGTCAGATTGCCTGCTTTCAAGTTAAAAGTATTTTGGCATGTCCGTCCGATGGAAAATGAAAAGCACACTAGATGGATCTTTTTTGTTTTATACCATTTTTATGTGTTAATAATGGTAGTAGTTGTGAAAATACCATCACACAGAAACTGCACACTGACTTGGTGTGATGGGTTTTGGTTTTGTGTAACCCAGCACGACGGTTCTTTCTGATGTCATCATACCGGAAGGGCCGGGGAGTAGAGGTCAAACAAGGTCCAATATTATGGTTCTCCGGGTTGCAGTTCAGCTGGCACTTCACTTGGCACAAATGGTGAAGAAATAGAAGATCGACGTAAATAGATTCTCCTGGTTTCTTTCGCTCAGTCGTGGTTAACCTCTTGTTCCGACTAATCACTTTGATCTGGAACTCTGATCTTTCACATACTTGATGCGTGAAATCCTTCTCTGCGCCAGTCCATATGCCTTCAGTCGTGTATTGCTTCGGGCGTCATACGGGACAGTCAGACCGTGCTTTTCATTATATGATATCCTCCTGGTATTGTTAAGGGGACTACTGGTTATATATCCGAGCTTTTGTTTAACTTTTTCTTTTCCTCTCTCCTTTCAGCCCTTGTCATTCTCTCTCTCTCTCTGAACATTTGTGTTGATGGTGACCGAGCGGTTTAGGTCGCTATCACTGGCCTGCGTCAAGCTTATATATAACCCACCTACACAATATCGAATCATAGCAATCATCAATAATTAGACTGGTTCATAGTTTTCAGGTTAAACAAACACCCGGGAAATGAGATATTTCTGTCGAAAATACACTTCCAGAGTAGAAGTATTTGAATGACCTGATAAACGATTACCAGGTACGCATGCCTGAGAAGCAAGAACCCCGAAACCGGTCATATGCTGCTAGGGGAATTTAGTCGAGTCACTCAGGTACTACTTATTGTTAAATGCATGTATTGCTTACGCGTTTGAGTTCAGACCATGTGCCAGACAAACTACAGTACAATTATCTGTATGACAAAGAAAAAGTTCATGTTTTTCTCTTTATTGGGCTACTGCTAGGTTGCGCAGACCAAAACAGGTGAGTTTTCTTGGGGAATCCACAACCGGAGCCTTTGACCAGCTAGGCCTGACCCGCAAGGCAGTGGGCGGTGTGTGGAAACCGTAATCCATTCTAGGCTTGTGCTCACTTCATCGGATCACACATCCAGGGGACAGGATCAAACGATCAAAGTACCTAATCCAGCTGGTGACCACTGTCTCAACCCGGAATTTTTGGGTGCGGTTCGTACTCCTTTTCCTGGTTGGTTTAG